CAGCCAGGGCTCAACCCAGGCGTCCTCAAAATACGGCCGCAGGCCACATGTCGCGGTGTTTTTGCCCTTAAGTTTTTTGTTTTTTTTTTTTGCTTCAAAATAAGATATGTGCAGGTGCATAGGATTTGTTCATTGTTTTTTTTTTTAAACTATAGTCCAGCCTTCCAACGTCTGAGGACAGTGAGCTGGCCCCCTGTTTTAAAAGTTTGAGGACCCCTGGCTTAAACATAGGGTCGTATTGCTCCGGAAACCAGACTGACCTGCTCAAAGCAAACGTTCCAACGTGCAAGTGCTCTTTTCTCCCAGTGGGTGATGCCCAAAACAACGCATCTCCCTCTTTGCCAGGAAAAAGGCAGGCTAGGCTGTAGTGTTCAAAGCATTTGAGCAAAAGCTGAGAAGTTCATTTCTGGTTTATCATGCTCGAAAACACCGGTGCAGCCTCTGCCATCACTTGCATCTATGTATCTACCCCAGAGAAGGTTGAGGGCTTCCCTTCAGCAAGGTCGGATGCAACGGAATGTTGCAAAGATACAAAAACTGATTCTGACTTCCCCCCCATTCTCCTAAGGAGACTGTGAGTTTCAATCTGAAACTCCGTTTCTTTCAGTAATTTGCCCGTTAGAACTCAGAGTCACCCTTGAAAAAGTTATTCCCTCTGTAAATATCCAGACTCAGATCCAGATTTTTTAGCAAACAATTATCCCTTTCAAGTGTGATTGGTTCTGCAGAGTAAATACAGGAATATGTTATTCAGGTCCTGGGACCTTTGATAATGATCAAAGCATGGGTATTGATCATGATTTGATAGTGATCAATAAGCACCGGTAAAATGTTTTTTTTTGTTGTTGTTGTCTTTGTTAAAAATAGACACCATTATTGCAGGAATAGAATTCATAATCACTATCATTAAGGTAGCCAACCGATATTTTTCATTGTGTTAAATAATTCCATTTTATGTTATTCTCAATGTTTAAATAAAATGATCTCTTGTGATGAATTATTTAATGTCTCTACATTATATAAGAATGTGAGAGTGATGGAGAGACAGGATTTCAACAAACGTATTTGAATATTTTTTATTTGAAAGGAAGTATTTTAAAATATCCCATCATGAGGATTTAAAAAAAAAAAAAACAAATTAACCGTTAGTTTTAGTTAAAGGATAAAAGCAGTGGAAAGCAAAGGTTCTTTTCATATATAGAACTTACCCGTGAAGAATTTTACAGATAAGAGTGAAGATGGGGACAGAAAATAAAAAAAAAAAAAAAACTGATGCCTATGTTCTACTAGGTTGGAAGCAATCTTATATAAATTTCTAGACAGACGATCATTAGGTGAAGATAATCTTAGTTGGCCACTGAGTTTCACCCAATGCAGAAGTTATTATTGTCAAGGATTCTTTGTAACCATTGAGTTTAACTGAGACAGTGTCTTACTTAGTCGGGGCAGTGTCTCATGAAGTATGCAGGAGGCAGGAATAAGAGAGGCTTGCTCGAGCCGGGGAACCGAAAAGGATCCCGACGGTGAGTCAGGAGCTGAGCCCAGGGAGGAGGAGCGTGCAAAGACTTACCTGCAAGACTTTGGTCAGGTTGTTAAACAGAGCTTGGCCTGCACGCACTTTGTATTTCACCCCTCTGACCGTGCCGTTTTTGCTTAGGATGTTGACTCTCCTTGTGCCGAAAGCCCTCTCGCTGGCGGCCCTGGCCAGCACGAGCAGGCTGTCCTGGTCGCTCTCGTGCGGGTCTCCTTCCGACCCCAGGCGGCCGTCCGGCTGTCCGTCAGAGTCACTGAGCCCATCCAGCCCGCAGACGCTGGCACACTCGGAATCCAGGGAGCCCGGGGGCTGCCCGTCCTCGTACACCTCCTTCAGAACCCGCCCGCTGTGGGACGAGGCGATCCGGAACCGCACTCTCCGCGGCCTGCCGCCGCTGTCTGGTCTCGTCTCTCTTCTCAGCATGGTCACCGCCACCCGCATGGACGGGCGGCCCACAGCGGCCCGTCCCCCCTTGTGCAAGCAGCAATGTCCCAGCCGGGTCTAACGGCAGCCCCACGCCTGCGAAACTAACATCAGAAGGAAAGAAGATTCCCAGGGACTCGAAAAGGCATCTCCACTATGAATAATGGATGTGCGTGTGTGCGTGCGTGCGTGTGTGTGTGTGTGTGTGTGTGTGCACCTGTGCTATGGTTACCTTTAAACGAACACCTGCAAAACGATCCCGGCCTTTAAATATTCAACGGCCATGGTGCACGCTTCTAACAGGACAAGTGCAAGATCAGTGGCATGCAGTGAAACGGAACGTAAGCATGGGGCAAGAAAAACGAAAAGGCAGACGTTTGGAGCCAGCGGTGGTGAGTGCTGCAAAGTGTCTGGGCAGCAGATGCAGCCCCGTGATTCCGCGCCCAGCGTGGAGGTCAGAGATAAAAATGTGGAATCGAGCGTGCACGGCAGGAGGAGCCCGAGCCTCAGCGTGCCATTGTCCTCCTTTCCCTCTCTCCTGACAATCTTGCAAACGGGGCAACCTGAGCGGCGAGCCACACGCCTGCCCGGAGCCGTCCCGGGTATTCTAGCTCCCATCAAATCACCGGATTAGGACCGCGACCTACACTTGTACGCAACCGCGTTTAAACTTCCCTTCCTGTTCAACGTCGTTTTGCCTAAAGAATGGTATTTTTAATATTATTACATAAATCATATGTTTATAGATTTCATTTATATAACAAAAAAAAAATTTTTTTTCTTTGAGACCCAGAGTCTCAGCCCCCCTGTGCCCCTGGCTAGCAGTGAAGTGCCGTGGCGTCCGCCTACGGCTCAGCAGTCACCTCAGGACTCCTGGGCTCCAAGCGAGTCCTCCTGCCTCAGCCTCCTCCCGGTAGGCTGGAGCTACAGGGCATCGCGCCACCATGCGCCCGCTAATGTTCTCTATATATTAGTTGCCCAATCATTTATTTCTATTTATAAGTGGAACGACGGGGTCTCGCCTTGCTCCCCAGGCTGGTTCGAACTCCTGACCTCAACGTGATCGCCCACCTCGGGCCTCCCAGAGTGCCTGGGATTTCACGGCGTCGCAGCCCCACGCCTGGCCCTATAACAAAAATTTTTACATTTGTTTTCTATTTTTTTATTTTATCATATTATGGGGGGTGCAAATGTTGTTAAGGTTACATATATTGGCCCTGTCACCCCTCCCCCCACCCAGTCAGAGCTTCAAGCGTGTCCATCCCCCAGACGGTGCACATCTCACTCATTATGTATGTATACACCCGTCCCCTCCTCCCCCTGCACCTGCCCCACACCTGATAAATGGGTTTTTTATTTGCTTGTTTGACATTTTGGTTGCATTTTATATCTTTGCCTCTCCCTAGCAAGGGTTAGAGGTGTGCCCTTCCCCCTATAATGCTCACCACATCCCTCAGATGTGGGTCTACATCCCCCCAAAACCCCAATCCCTGGTGAACCCCACCACCCTTTGAGCACCATAGTGTTGATCAGTCAGTACCAATTTGATGGCGAGCACACGTGGAGCCCATTTTCCTGATCTTGTGTCGCCTCACTTTGGATAACGGGCTCAAGCTCAGTCCAGGATAATATAAACGGTGCTAGCTCACTGTTGTTTCTTAGGATTGAGTAATATTCCATTGTGAACATATACCACATTTTAATAATCCACTCATGGATTGACGGGCACTTGGGTTGTTTCCACGTCCTTGCGATAGTGAATTGTGCTGCCATAAACATTCGGGTGCAGATGTCTTTGTGATAGAATCTCTTTTGCTCTTTTGGGTAGATGCCTAACAATGCTATTGCCGGGTTGTAGCTTTTCAACAGACTCTCAAAATAGAGAGCTTTCGCTGTGTTGCTCTCCCCTTTCTGCTTGTAAAACACGTTCCCCTCTGACACAGTGAAGGTTTGGGAAGAAAAACATATGGAACAGGGAGCAAAGAACGGAAACTCCTGCAGCCCAGCCATATCACCAAAGGAATCCAGCTGATCAGCATCGATAAATATTATGTCCAAATCACCCACAAGTAGAGAAGGGTCCTCCTGGTGCTGTGCTCGGTGTATTTTCTGTCACTCTGGCAAGCACCTGAGGAACCTCATAAGATAGAGGTTATATTTGAGATGGATGCCGTGTTTCCCCGAAAATAAGACGGGAGGGTCTTCTATTCATTTTTCCTCAAGAAGACACCCTAGGGCTTATTCTCAGGGGATGTGTTGTTTTTTTTTTTAAGTACGGTACAACCATCTACAGTGATTCAAATAGAGTGAAGTCGTCTTCTTCTGGAACATCATCCTCACTCTCCAAACCCCGAATCCCATCCTGAGTTTCTTGCGACTCTGTTTCCTTTAGAACCACCGGCCCCGATCTCTCCTGTGGGGCACTAGAGCTGTCATGGGGCAGATGAGAAGGGCTGCTCGTGTTCTTTCCCGCTCCGCGACGGCACGCATGGGTCGTGCAGATGCGCTGCGCAGCCACGCCCTTCACTAGGGCTGATTTTCGAGGTAGGGCTTCTTTTGCGCACACATGCTCAGAAATCCTGCCGGGGCTTATTTTATGGGTAGGTCTTATTTTCGGGGAGACACGGTAGTGATGGATAGCAGGATAGTGAGTGCCCCCAAGCTGTCTGCAATTCCAGAGGGAAGAAAAGCAGCTGGCTCACACCTTGCACTTCAAGTTTCTAACGCTTGTAAGTTTTTACCTGATTGCAAACTTATAGTTAGTTTAGAACATTTCGAAAACACCCAATAATAGCTCGGAGTCCAAAATCGAAGTCCCTGATATTCTCTCGAGAGAGACACCAATGGTTTTTGTGCATTTGCTGCCACCGGGCTTGGCAGAGATGTGCCGACGCTCGCAAAACTATAACACGTCAGCCAGCTTTTGGCCTCTGAGGGGCTAGGCAGCAAGCGCACAGCTTTTGCCAGTGGGATGTGAGTCATTCGTGGACCAAGGCGGTGAAGGCAGTGTTCTGCACGCGCTATTTCTCTCCCTTCCCTGTCTGCCAGCTGGAGAACCCCAGAAAAAACTTCAAGCAACATTACTGGGCTTTTCAGAGCCATAGTGAAATTCCCAACCACCACTGCCCTGCACTGGAAATGATGTTGTGAGCAAAAAAAAAAAATAAGCCTTTGCTGTATTAAGCACTGGACATTGAAATTTGGGAGTCATTTTGTTAAAGCAGCCATCATTACCAAATCTGACTCATGCTCTCATATAAAAGCACATTCAATCTATTTAGTGTCTTGCTTTCTCTCATTCAACATCATATAGAGTGAGCCATTTTTCTGTATCATGATTTCTGGAAAACACAAATTTAACGTGCATATTTTAAAAGTCTCCTAATGGTCATACCATATTTTATCTTGTTCTTTCTGGATTGCTAGATTTTTAGCCGTTTTTAGCTAGATCTAGCGATCGCCAGATCGCTGTATTTTATGAGTAAAATAGTAAAATATAGCCGTACTTAACATTGCTTGCTCAAAAACCAAGGATCATGTATCACAGATCACTGTAACAGATATAACAATATTGAAAAATTTTGAAATAGTGTAAGATTTATCAAAATATGACACGGAGGCACAAACCGAGCGCTTGCTACTGGAAGAATGGTACCAACAGACTTGCTGAACACAGGGTTGCCACAAACTTTCCATTTGTAAAAAATAAATAAATAAATAAAATATCTGTGAAGCATAGTCAAGCAAAGTGCAATAAAAGCAGGTGTGCTTATATTACCAATTTTCAATGCTTTTTATTTTGCCAAGTTGAAAAGGAACATTTTGATGAGCACCAACTAAAGCACTCACTCTAGCCAGGGCAACAAAGTGAGACTCTGTCTCAAAAAAAAATATTTATATATATATATATTCTCTAGATTTTTCCCTAAAAAAAAAAATTATGTATATAATTATTCATTGATTCCTCCCGCCTCCAAAATATTGCCTCCCAGTAGTGTTGTTTGTGTGTGATCGCCACTGCATGATGAGAAGTAATTTTAACCATATTCCCTGCAGCTTTGGGGCATGCATTCTAAAAACACTTTGAATCACAGTCTATGTGTGCCATATGCCTCCATCTGCTGCTACTTCATAGCTATCACATTCAGCATTTTATTTTTATTTTTTTTTGCTCCTGAAAACCCTAAAAACCGATCATAGAAAGTAAAGCAGAAGCCCCGCCGGTTGGCAATGGATTTATCTTTCCTTCAGCCACACTTGTCGCTGGGGAAGCAATGGGCAATCACTCTCTCCCCGAGCGCTCTTCTCAGAACTTCCGTGTGGATGGAGAAGAAGAAAAAAAAAAAAGTATCAACTTTTATTTTCTAACCACAGTATATCGGTGATTAGAGAAGAAACAAGATTTACTAGGCATCGGTGGAACAGGGAAAATAAGCTCTCTCCCCGAGACTTTTCAGCCGATGGAATGCTGAGCCTCTCTTAACGCGGATTCATAGGTCGGAATCCGCAGCTCAGCTGTGGGAGCGCAGGGCACTTCTAAGCAGAAAAGCAGCCGAGAGCACTCAAGAACGTTTCTCTGGAGAAAGGACCTTTGTCACAGGATATTAACAAAAAAAGATGCATGAATTTTTGGTTTATAAACGAATGGTTCAGGATAGGGTATGTGCTTGCACTCAGTACTGGGTTGGAACCGTGGATCTGACATTCTCTGAGTGACCTTGGGCACGCTGCTTTGTCTTCCCGAGCCTCAGTTTCCTCTTCTGTGCTATGGCAGTCCCTATCGTAGCAGAGAGCAGATTTCAGCACCTATTGCATACTGTTTGAAGGGATCAAATAGAATGATGTGTATATATATGTATGTATAGGTATATATGTATACATACATATATGTATATATGTGTATATATATGTATACATATATACATCATTATACATATATGTATATACACACATGTGTATATATGTATGTGTGTATATACATATATGTGCATGTGTATATG